AAGGCACACACAGATGGCAGAGTGCAAGAATACTTTATTCAAAACAAAGCCATAGAACAGATTAGAAACATGCAGTCAAGAGTGACATTGCCCTGTTTATTATTTGGGGCTTCCTTTTAATGCGACTTGAGAGAAGGGAAAATTTGGTATATAGAAGTGTAGTTTGGGTGGTTCTCTATTTTGATTAACAAATTAAGTTCTATGACCATATCTTTCCTGTGCATGTCCCCTCCCATAATGCATCTGGTTTAAATCATATTCATGCCCAGTTATACAGAGGCATAAGATAACAAATGAGGAATTTTCCTAAAAGTACACTTTGAGGCCACAGGGATTTTGTTTTGTTTTGTTTTGAGACAGGATCTCATTGTACATCCCTGACTAGCCTGGGATCTACCTACCTCTACCTCCTAAATGCTGCAATTAAAGGCATGCACCCAGCTTTTGAGGATGCAGTTTATCTTATTGTATATGTACCTAAAACCAGTTTCGAACAATTGTTTTCTGAAAACTGAAGTTGGTACTTACTTGAGTCTCATTCATTAAATTTAATGTATATTTGAGTCTTCTTTTTGTTTGTTTGTTTTTATTTATGTGTTTTGCGTGTTTTGCTTGCATGTAGGTAAGTGCACCCGTGTTGTGCAGTGCCGGTAGAGGTCAGAAGAGGCTGTTGGAACCTCTGAAACTGGAGTTACGGACAGTTGTTAGCTGCTGGGTGCTGGGATTTGAACCTGGGTCTTCTGCAAGAACAGTCTGTTTTTTTAAATGAGGGTTTTTTTTTTAACTTTTAAAAAAATTTATTGAGAATTTCATACTTGCATATATGGTGTTTTGATCAAATCCACACCTACTCCTTCCCCTCCAACTCCTCCCATATCTCCCCATCACTTTTTCCTGAACAACTTCCTATATTCTTTCTTTTTCTTTCTCTTTCTTTTTAATAATTTACTGGGAATTTCATACATGATCAAATCCATGTGAACTCCTTTCCCTCCAACTCCTCCCATATTGCCCCATCACTTTTTTCCTGATAAACTCATGTACTCTTTCTTCTTTTATTTTTTGAATGGGGCTTTTGGCTACTCTAACATTCCCCCCTCTAAAGAGGTAACACTAAAATCTTTTAAGGATTAGATAAAAGCTCCCAAATACTTTTGACATTTTTGGCCTTTGGAGTATGTTGCTAAGAGGGCCAACGACATTGTGAGTTTTAGCCAAGAAACTGGCTACTTTTTGGGTGGGGGTCTTTTTACCCTAACTGCCTAGACAGGTCTTACCTCCTATTTTTATCACACCATCCTCTGAAGAGGTTACCCAAATTGCCTATAGGGAATCGGGCACAGACCACTCTGGCTTCTTCCATGCTGAACATGGATGAAGGTGAGGCAATTGGAGTACCCCTTCAGCAAGTCTATCTAAAAGACTCCCAAATTGCATAAATCTTAATCTGTAGGGGAAAAAGAAAGTCCTTGAATCATGAGTAGGAGATGTGAAGGAGAAGTAAAGGCAAGAGTAGTTAGCATCACAAGCTCTAGATAGGGACCTAGAAAAAAGTCAGAACAGGGCAATTTTCAAATGTTCATGTGAGAGTCCATTGGAGTTTCTTGACAAGGGCTTCCAAAAGCATCCCCCTATTGGGCTCCTCCTCATTTTTCTTTTGTCTGCCAAGGCTTGACTTGAGAGCGTTGGATTCCAGATTTGCTTTCAGGTATTTTGATAGGTGTTGGAGTGGTTAGAATCAGTGTCAGTCCCCTCTCAAAGGCTTCTAGATAGGGGGAGAAAACAAATTTATTCATCATTTTAGAAAATAGCCAGTTGTGTCTCTTAGCTACAGGTGGGCAGAGTCTAAATAACTTTTTATGTAGACTTAAGCCTAATGTCTGGAAAGTGTAATCCCTTGAACACTTAAAGAAATATACTAATGACTTTACTCTTTGTTTATACTTTCCTTTTGGGTGTTTAAGACCATACAGTTGGCCCAAATAAATTTATTTTTACCCTTAAGATTATCTGAGGATCTGTTCCTCAGGGGTCACATGGGCTTTGGAGGAGCTCCTGGTTCCTTTCTTGTACCAGTTCCATCTATGTGAATATCACATCAAAGGTCCTGTTCGACCATGTCTGGCTTCACTTGGAAGCATGAGTGAGATGTTTCCTTTGAGTTGAGCCTCCTCTTTGTAGACTGGACATTGGTTCAAGTCCATCTCATGGGGTCTCCATGGCCTCTGTGAACAAGAGGACAGGTGACTCACCACAGTTACAGGACATTTTGAGAGATGCTCCATAGTCATCTGGAATTTAGTTGACCTTGGAGGGCAAGAAGCAAAAAATTGTCCTTTAAGTCCTTCTGGCCAGATTAGTATAGGCCTCAAAGTATGGCTGTTAAACATCCAATAAGGTTAGTTCTACCAATCTGGTACTTTTAATAC